AAGTACTGGAAAATAACAAAATGAGTAAATATATGAAAATTACTTTTCTAAACGCATTATTTCATTTTAACATGTATATATAACTTTTTAAAAATTGATTAAACATTTTTGAAAACACAGTTTTGTTTTTTAAAACGTTTGCAAAACTATGAAGAATTCCATCGATACCAATCACGCCATCTATATGCAACTTTTAGCAATAATAATGGCTACTTCCTCATTGAGTGCCACTGGTATTATTATATATATATTTTTTAAACTGTAGCACTGCGACCTACGTAGATCTATTCTGCTCGTCCTTTTTCAGTTGCTACCTTGTACCATCAGGGACAAAAATTGAAGGATACTCTTAGGAGCGATGGTTTTTATATCCTCAGGATAGTGTAAACTTTCCAAAGGAGATATTTCGTTTATGCATGAGTGGGCTACAACCACATAGAATGTGTAGTGGCGTTTCCTCTTCGGCTTGGCAAATTGATATTTCGCCTTAGTATCGATACGAAAGACTGTTGACGACCTCGGTGGTCTAGCGGTCTAGCATACCGCTTTATGTCCGATGGTCGCAGGTTCGATTCCTCGCACGACACAAACATTTGTATTCATGAGTATGATTGTTTGTATCGGTCTGGGTGTTTTCTATGTATAATATGTATTTACGAAAAAAAAATCTATGTACTTGTATCAGTTATCTAGTACCCGTAACACAAGTATCAGCTAGCTTAACTTGGGACTAGATGGCGCTGTGTGAATTGTCCTGAGAATAAAAAGACTAGTATACCGCCCCCGCGTTACACGAGTGAAATTATTAGAGAGATATCTAACTTTCACTGTATTACTATCCAAGATACTCTCTGATTAAAATAATTATATACTCTCTAGTAATTACATTTGGGTTTATCTATAACAAACAGAAATTTAAATATTTCCCTTTCTAAGTCATTTTTTTTTAATTTGTAAATTATTATTGAAGTCTTCTTTTATTTTTCCTCTGCAATGTGTATTATATATTTTAATTAAAGTTTACTATTAAAAAAGACGAGTCATCGCTGCTTGATAAGTTAATCGATTCGATTGATGATAATGATTTCTCCACAAGATTAGTAAAAGTACTAAAAAATATTTGGATATTCTGTGGCACACTATATACTGTGGTATTGGATAGAAAACATTCAAATAAAAAAAAAAACATTTTCATTTCCACTAAATTAGTAAAAGTACAAAAAAATATTTGGATATTCTGTGGTACACTATATACTGTGGTATTGGATAGAAATCATTCAAATAAAAAAAAATATTTTCATTTCCACTAAATTGGTAAAAGTACAAAAAAATATTTGGATATTCTGTGGCACACTATATACTGTGGTATTGGATAGAAATCATTCAAATAAAAAAAAATATTTTCATTTACACTAAATTAGTAAAAGTACAAAAAAATATTTGGATATTCTGTGGCACACTGTATACTGTGGTATTGGATAGAAAACATTCAAATAAAAAAAAATCATTTTCATTTCCACTAAATTAGTAAAAGTACAAAACATATTTGGATATTCTGTGGCCCATACACCACTGTATGCTACGGTATTGGATAGATAATATTCAAATAAAAATAAAATCATTTTCATTTTACTTTCAACTGTATTAGTTAATTTTAATTTAGTTATTAAATTAAAACTAAATGAACTTAATAATGTATATATAAAAATTTGCACGTCTGTATGCAGGCTGAAAGCACTGTGCAATATCTGTACCACAGATAAAATAATATTACATATCCTATTCATATTTCTTTTTAGGGGATATCTTAGATTTTTAATAAAAGAAGAACCTCAATTATTTACGTAAACCAGGGCGGGTTGGTAGTATTAATATTGTGGAACCTATAAGCACTAAATTTGCGAATAAACGATTTGTTTTGATTTAAAATATAAATCTATATGACATCCACATCTTTTAGTTTTATAATAGACTAGCTACTCCCCCCGGCTTTGCACGGATGTACATGTATTGTATATATAAACTTTCCTCCTGAATAACTCTACCTATTAAAAAATCGCTTCAAAGTCCGTTGCGTAGTTTTAAAGATTTAAGCATCCGTACTGGGGGCCCAACTGAAGATCAGCGCTGGAAACTATTTCCAGCATTATGCTGAGTTGTGGTCCACATTGACTCCGTTTTTTAATGTGTAAATTATTTTTGTATTTCTTATGTTATTACTGTAAAAACGAGTTAATAAAAAAATTCTAATTCTATTCTATTCTAAGCATACATAGGAACGGACAGACAGCGCCAGCGACTTTGTGATATACTACGTAATGAAAACAAAGTGGCTGTCGCTGTCTGGCCCTTTTTTTTAAGGAAATTTTGTACACCCGTGCGAAGCCGGGGCGAGTAGCTAGTATTCTATGTAATGAAGCACTAAATTTGCGAATAATTGAATTTAATACAGTAATAATAATAATCTCAAGACAATTCACACAGCGCCATCTAGATCCAAGTTAAGCTAGCTAAAGCTTGTGTTATGGGTACTAGATAACTGATACAAATACATAGATATATTTTTTTTCGTATATACATACATATTATACACAGAAAACACTCAGACCGACACAAACAATCATACTCATGAATACAAATGTTTGTGCCGTGCGAGGAATCGAACCCGCGACCATCGGACGTAAAGCGGTGTGCCAAACCACTAGACCACCGAGGTCGTCGTTAGTCACCAGCTATTAATTAATTTCTAACCCAGATCTAACTGTTGTTCATTGAGATTGTGAAATAATCACAATCTGTCGCAGCATGAGAATCGATCAGTCAAGGTGAACACCTGAGCACTTTCCACACTCAAGGTTAAATAATTAAACACGCTTTTCTCAAAAAACTTATTATTAACATCTCTTTACAAAGACAAGCACCTAGCGGCAAAAAAACCGCCCAACTTGTGCTCGGTCCATCGATAAACTATGTATACATTACCTGTATATATAAATTAATATAACACAATTACTAGTACAAGAAAATTTTGATTTATACCATGATGTGACCAGTTCTGGCGCAATATATAAATAAGTCCACAAATATATGAATTATAATTTAAAAAAAATTTATTTAAAGGATGAAAAAAAAAAGTACTCTGATTAACCCCATTTTTCAATATAACTCGATATCGGTGAGATATATGAAAAAATGTTTTAAATAAAACTTGTAGACAAAATAATCCTACATAAAACAGTCCTTTTCATTTTTTTATTATCTCCTGTTGTTTAGCCACAAATTTAAAAAAACTAATTAACAAAAACTAACAGCTTATCTTTATATATTGCTCCAAAACCGGTCACATCGTGGTTCGAATCAAAACTTTCTTGGACTATACGCAACCTTTCTCTATATACATCACAAACCTTAAAGTAAAAAAAACTTAAAAGATAAAAACTAAAAAGATAAAATAATGGCTCGACTGACTTCAGTTTAATGACTTAAATTATTATAAAAAAATTATGATGCACGTTATGATACGTCGTGCCGCACCGTGGGTTATGTAGTTGCTCTGTCTGGCGAAATGACAGTACCTTTTACTTTGGCATGCCTTAAAATCTACACATTCTAATAAATACACACTCGTAAGTGATGTTATGCAAGTCTACTCTGGATTCTAATGTAAAAGTCGATTTAGTTTCAATCTTATTGTGTATTTAATATTTCGCTCTAATATATTAGTGCTAGTTGGTTTGTATTCACACGTTTCGATTTTAAAATGTAGTTACAACGATTATTGCAAACTAAAGAACCAAACAAACGGTCAAATAGACCGTAAAATTAAGATTTAAATTTTTGAGTGTCTCTTTTAAAATAAAGTTAAATATAATATTAATATACATTATTTAAATTATTAACCGGGTCTTAACACGAATAATGTTATGGCAAATAAAGGTATTTACCTCTTGCTGCAATGAGACATTTGAGTCTCATTCTTAATTTAATTCTTGCTCGTGCTTAAATTAAGTTTATTTGAATAAATTATTTTCTATTCTATTCTATTCTTCTTGTGATGAGACAGCTGTCCGAATGAGCGGTAGATTAAAAGAATGATAAGTATGACTATTCAAAAATGCTAGAATAAATGATTGTTTATTTTATTACAATCAGAAAGAAAACTATATCATAAAAAAATATACCACTTGAATTCTGAACTGAAGTAGCTATACAAACTAAATAGCGGAGATAGTCATAAAAATTACAACATAAGAGGCCGTAAGGTCTTATATGAATAAATAATGAATTTAGTTTTGAAAATAAAATATAAGAAAATATCATAATAATCAGTAAAAATATCTGCTAGTGATGGTAACCATAAAATTTAGTTTTCAAATTACTATTATAACTGTTTAAAACATTATAGCAAATATGTCGCACTGTCCACTCCAGAGGCAATGAACATCATAGCACTGCTGCGGATCCAGTGCTTTTGGACGTGGACGTAGATATATTATATTATTGAAATTATAAGAAAGTATTGACTACTTATCACTACGACTGAATTAATCTTATTGTTTTTTTTATATTTGAGCCTACATAAATTAGTGCTGGTTGGCAGTTTGTATTCACACGTTTCGACTTGTAAAATGTGAACTTACAAGGATTGTTTAAAAGAGCAACACACAAGTTTCTTGCCTATTCTTTTTGTGATGAGACAGCTTTCCGAAAAAGCGGTAGATTTAAAAAAAATTTGACTATTCAAAAGTGCTTAAATTAAGTTTATTTGAATAAATGATTTTCTATTCTATTCTATTCTATTGAAATTATAAGAAAGTATTGAAATTATAAGAAAATATTATGTAATTGACTAACATAGTTTATAAATTGTTTACCAATATAATATAGATAGATATTCGAAATAAATTAATATATAATATAACAAATAAACATACATAATTTATATTGTTTCGGATTATAAACATATGTAAGTACGATTTAAGTGTGTGCAAATAAAATACGAAACGGCGTATTTCAATATTATTGAATTACTTATTTGAATTAGATTCCAGAGTAGATCGGTTGTACAATATATGTTGTTAATCTAACATCTGCCATCGCAAAGGTATATAGAGCCTACAATCACAGAATGTCGATTTTGCATATCGTATTTGTGCTCAAAATTGGACATACATGGAATGAAAACTCTACCACGGATCCGCAATAAATACGCGATATAAATAAATCTAATAAATTACTATTAAAAGTTTACCGGCTAACACTAAACACAGCTGTGTCTTACATACTATATGAGCTTATCAATCACAATTTCGACGAGAAGAAACCCGTTCGATCGACAATAGGTAACTATAGAATTGAAATACAAAATGCGACCGTACAAGTTTCTTTCCGTACCTACACATTAAACCAAAAGAAAAATCTTAAATATAAATCGGCTAGCGGAACACACGCGATCACAAATAATTCAACATAGCATCGTTTCCTGGTACAAAACAGATCGAAACCACACGGCTTCGTGAAAGGCAGTTAGTTATCCAACGTGATTAGAAAGGTGTCACGGTTGGCGGGCGCTTTCTAGCGCGAGTACAACGCAAGGTCCGAGATTCGACGCTGGCGGGCGGCGGCGTGGAAGCCGCGAGTGCCGTCCGGCACGAGCGGGGTCCGGGGTTCGAAGCGCGGCGCGCACGACAGCCGCCGGCCGCCGCACTCCGAGCCGGACAGCGAGCAGCCCGACAGCCGCCGCGACAGCCAGCCCTCCGCGCTGCTCGCGCTGCCCGTGCTCACCTGCGAAGTCCTTCTCGAATTGCAGTAGAACGAAACCCCAGAATCCGAACTGTGGCTGCACGTCGACGGCCGCCGCGGCACCCACGTCTGTATTTCAGGAGACCGAGGCGCGAAGAAGCCGCTCGAGTTTCTCCTGTAGAACGGAGTCCCGTATCTGTAGTCGTACTCTGGTTCTGAACCACTACAGCATGAGGAATACTCGCACTCATGGCGGCGAGGTGTAGGACGCCGCGCCGGGACTTTCCTCTTCGGTTCCCGGGGCACGCCGTTCAGTTCGTATATACGCATACCTTCGTCGTCGGCAGCCTGCAGCCGAAGCGCTTCCCTCGCCGACTCAGATTCCGTAAACTCAACTAACGCACACACACAGTTAACCAAACTCGGGTTTTTGTTAAGAAACTGGCGGACGTCCGCCGGAACTGGGTTGCCGGGTCGCAGCACACGAACTAGAGCAATCTCGCCACAACTCGCGAATAATCTCGACACATTCTCGACCGTGGGACGGTCTATGGGCATCCTGACTGCGACCACTGTCCTAGACGGCGTCGTCTCGTCGTAGGCCGGCAGAGGGTCGATCCTGCGTAACTTTGTGCCCGCTTCATTGATCTCCAGCTTGGTGGACCTCTTCAGAGCTTCAGCGACCACTCTCCAGTCTTTCGTGAGATGCTTCACACGTTTGAAGCTAGATATCAACTTGAGGGAGACATACCCTTCCTTGTTCCGGCGTACGTGTTTGAGAAGGAAGGCATCTTTAGTGATATTGGCATCCGAGAAGTAGAATTCGACTTGCGACACTATCCGGTTGGCGAGCTCGTCGTCGGGGGGTGTATACGGGGGTTCCTGGGTTTCGGCGGCGACTTCGCAGCCGGAGTCTTTACCGCCTCCGGAGCCAGCTTCGGACGCGGTGTCAGAGAGGTCAGCATGGTCGTCGGTGGACGGGCGACGGTCAGAGGCGATGCCCTCGTCGGGCTCGGGAGCGCCCTGGCTGGAAGGGAGCCCCTCCATGAGTGTCGCGTGTGGGGATGCCACTATTTCATAACAGAAGCGTACGTATCGCTCGATGGCGCGGGTCGGACTGCGGGCGCGCGGCGAACTCGCACCTCTTTTATAATGTCGGAGGGATGTACGGTAAAAGGCGTTCGGAAACAAGACGTGAGATGACATTGCAGACTATATGACGCTGTTCATACGTAATTAGTCTGTACACGTGTTTAATAAATGCATTGTGTAGGCAGATGATATAGAAGTTTGGGCGGTCGTCGTTTGTTTTAAAATTAGGTGCATTCTCACGCGATGCTGTTTATCTGTTGCATATGATAATTTTGTGCATGCGAACGTAGAATTCTATACATAGATAAGGCCGTGTGTATAAATACTTTATCGGAACAATAAACTAGATAAATGTAGTTGAAAAACCTTGTTCGGTTCATAAATATTCACACATCTGTACGTACGACTTATTGCTTTTTTATCTAAACATAATGAGTGTGTATGTACAAGTATATCTGTTAAAATAGAATGAAAAAACTACCTTCAATATAGTTGTTTTGATGTTATACAATTAATAGGTAATCTAGAGTTGATTTGTTGTTTTGCAGTCAAAACTGTATGATCATTTGATGTAATGATATACCAATATAGACAGCGGTCTAGCACACCGCTTTTCTTAATGGTCGTAGTGATAAATAAAACCCGATGATCGCGGGTTCGATTCCTCGCACGGCACAAATATTTGTATTAATGAGTATAATTGTTTGTATCGGTCTGGGTGTTTTCTATGTATAATATATATGTATTAAAAAAAAATGTGTGTATATGTATCAGTTGTCTAGTACCCATAACACAATCTTTAGCTATCTTAACTTGGGTCTAGATGGCGCTGTGTAAATTGTCCTGAGATTATTATTTACTTTGAATTGTTAACGAATTATTATAATAATAATTCGTTAACAATTCAAAGTATATGGGACACAGTTACCTAGATACATCAATATAATAATTGCAATTAATTATAGCTAGTAAGACTAAAGTTGCCAACCGTCCTGTTTTCCCAGGACATGTCCTAGTTTTTGAAGTGTCCTGGGAAGGACATGTCCTGGATTGTTAGATGTATAGATTAAAATTAAAGTTATAAGAACATAATTGTATACATATACATATGATCTATACATATAAATAAAATTAGAGAGTCTGTTTGTAATATTGAAATAACAGTTTTTTACTACATTCATATGAATATAAATACGGTATATACACTAAAATAACTTTTTCTACAATTTTTGTCTGTCTGTCTGTTTGTTCCGGATAATCTCTGAAATGGCTGGACCGATTTTGACGGGACTTTTCTTGGCAGGTAGCTGATGTAATTAGAAGTAACTTAGGCTACTTTTATTTTAGAAGAATAAAGTTAAATTCCACGCGGACGAAGTCGCGGTTCCAGCTAATTGTAAACATAACAAACTTCACCATTTTCTAATCATTTTAAAAAATAATTAAAATTAAAATTCATCAATACAATTACGCAATTGTCTGCAGCTGATTTTGTTAAAGTCTTATCTGATCCCTTTCTGATGATGTAAGTATCAATAAGAGACTTATTGACACCAGAAAGCTTTTGTTCGGAATATGTTTACCTTGAGAATCGTATCCATGACCGAGCATGCACGCAGACCGAGCCATAAGGGGTCGGGCTATATATAGAATTAATACGTGTCAATTCATAAGCCACATGTCGGATGACTCAGTTGTTAAGGTTACGGCTTACAGCAATTATCAACAATCTTGCTGCATTATTATTGTGGTAGTTTGTTGATAAGAGAGTAATAGTTTAGTGGTTAAAAGGTCTAAAGGTCGTGAGTTCAATTTTTTTCTTCTCTTTATTTCTTTTTGTATTTTTGTACACTAAATGTAATTATGATAATCCCATTGTAATTAACCTACTAATATTATAAACGCGAAAGTTTGTGAGTATGGATGTATGTTTGTTACTCTTTCACGTAAAAACTAATTAACGGATTTTGATGTAACTTTACAGGAATATAGCTTATCTATCTGATTAACATATAGGTTATAAATTTCATTCGAGTGAAACCGCGGGCACATCTAGTACTAAATAAAAAAAGGAACAACTTAAACTAATGTGACACCAGCCAGGACAATAACTATATTGCTTCGGAAGCTGGCTCTGCTAATATATGAAATACTAGCTGTACATGCGATTTCGTCCGCGTGGAATATAATTTAATTTTTCTAAAATATAAGAGTTTTTCTAAAATAAAAGTAGCCTAAATTACTCCTTATTACATCAGCTACTTGCCAAAAAAAGTCCCATCAAAATCGGTCCAGTCTCACAGATTAGCCGGAACAAACAGACAGACAGACAAAAATTGTAAAAAATGTTATTTTCGTGTATGTACCGTATTTATATTCGTAGGCATACAGTAAAAAATGGTTCTTTCAATATTACAACCAGTTTTTAAGCAGCGAACTATCTTTAGTTCTCTGCCTAGGCCTAAAAATCTTATATATAAAATTCTCGTATCACAATGTTAGTTACCATAATCCTCTGAAACGGCTTGACCGATTTTTATGAAGTTTTGTAGATAGATATTCAGTAGGTCTGAGAATCGGCTACTATCTATTTTTCATATCCCTAAGTGTAAGTTGTCCACTATATATTTTTTTATTATGTGTCATTAAAAAATACATACAACCCTAAATTTTTATAGCGTTATTAATTTATATGGCAAAACAACGTTTGCCAGGACAGCTAGTAATAATACAAAAATAACAATCAAAATAATTATTCCATGCCAGTTACAACGTGATCCCTAATGACATATAAGTACATAAGTAATTTAATTAGTGCTTCAAACAACGCGAGGTGACTACACTCTATAATCTCATTAACTACTAGGATTTAACTAAACTGACGTAACGTGCCTGAATTTAGTGTAATAATTAACTACGTAACAGACTAGCTTCTGCTCGCAACTTCGTCCATTATTCGTGTTAGGACCCGGTTAATAATTTAAATAATGAAACACAGCTTACGAAAAACAAGTACACTTAAATTGTGGAATGAACTTCTTGCGGAGGTTTTCCCACGAGACTACAGCATGGGGTTTTTTAAAAAGGGTATATTAAGGTACTTTAATACCTTAACCTTCTTCAAGCGTTCATAGGCTACGGTAACCATTTACCATCAGATGGGCCGTATGCTTGATTGCCACCATCGTAGTATAAAAAAATATATACTTTATAGCAGAATTAAAACGACTCGCAGATGATTTTCTGCAAAATCTATCTAGATATAAATAGACAGATGGCTGGATAAGTTAGAAAAAAATCCCGGAAACTGACTTAATTTCGCGCAATCACTTTATCATTGCAATACATAGATTGTAATTACAGCACTATTCTTATCGAGTTAACATAACTTTGAATGTGTTTAACGTGATCGCGTGATACATAACAATGTTTCAAGTTGTTTCATAATATCTAACAGATGTTATTTTCCTGTTTTATACACGTCTATATTTTATTTGTCTATTCGTCTTATTAATATACTAAATCCTCTTTAGAAATACTTCTTTCACGCTCATTTAGTAAATAATTATGGCATATAATTTAACTTTATTTTTCTAAAATAAAAGTAGTTTAAGTTACTCCTTAATAGCTATCACCTACTTGGCAAAAAAAGTCCTATCAAAATCGGTCCAGCCATTTCAGAGATTAGCATTTACAGAGATTTGTAAAAATTTATTTTATTTATTTCAATATTACAAACAGACACTCCAATTTTATTTATATGTATAGATGTATATATGTACTCTTTATTGCACCAGGAAAATTACGTTAATTAGCAGAGTAATTAAAATTAAGAGGGTACAAAAGGCGTTCTTATCACTTATGCAATCTCTTCCAGACAACCTTTGGGCAGAGGAGAAAAGACAAAAGGTGGCAGGTGGCACTAGAATAGAAGAGAAAAAAAAACAATAATAATAATAATAAATGCGGTATTGTAAGAAAATTTCTTTCTTCATCATCTATAACTCATCCACGCTTGGCTAAGGCCCGCGTATTTGAAGGTATTACCCCGTAAGGGAGATATATATATATAAGATAGATGAATTTATAGATGATAGCAATATATAGCAAGAATAAGTTTATTTGCGGACAACGTTATAATTTTAATTTTCATACTGCTTTCTTGATATATGATAGCGTAGCGGCTTTTGTATTGATTGCCGCATGCATCCTTGTGTAAAGTGCGAATGCTGTAACTACCATATAGTGATTTTTGTGGCTGTGACGTGGTCGTGTGGAGTGAGTGGTCATGCTCACTGAAATGTCCAGACATGTGGCGGCGTGGTGGGCCGGGTCAATGGGCTCCCTAAAATATGGTCGAGCGCAGTGATGGCTGGCTCATCCGTCATACTCGTGAACGAGTGCTGCTTGTGGGGACTGGTCTGCTCTTGTCACTACGACTGATTTAATCTTATTGCATGATTGTATTTGACCCAAAAAATTAGTGCTTGTTGGTAGTTTGTATTCACACGTTTCGGCTTGTAAATGTAAACTTACAAGGATTATTTAAAAGAGCGACACACAAGTTTCTTGCTCGTTCTTCTTGTGATGAGACAGCTTTCCGAACGAATTGTAGATAAAAAACAAATTGTTATGACTATTCAAAAGTGCTTAAATTAAGTTTATTTGAATAAATGATTTTCTATTCTATTCTATTCTTCTATAATAACTAGAGATGTGTCAACTCGAGTTAACCCGAGAATTCTGCCAACTCAAGTTTTCAGAATTCGGTGTATTAAAGTTCGGTGAAGTTTTCAAGGCTAGCTGCGCCCATTAAAATCATTAGAATTGTTCCAAAAAATAAAAAAAGAACCTTTTTATTCCAGGTAACTCGAGTCATGTTTATTACGAGTTTGCAAATCTCCAATAATAACATTACGAATTCATAATAATGAATAACAGAACATATTACATATATAAACAGTATATACACCTATATGTATATATATAGATATATAATGGGTGGTAGAATCAAAATATGACTATTCAAAAGTGCTTGTAATGAGTTTATTTGAATAAAGATTATTTCTATTTCTATATATATATACATACGTAACAAAATTCAACAAATAGAT